ACAGCGGATAAACTTTTTACAGAGACTGTCGCGCGACAACAACCTTAAGAGCTTTTCAATTTTCAAAATCGAATTGTCCAATGACTCTTTCTTACCAAGAGAAGTCTAGGAATTATAAATCATTTAATTAATCAATCTCACTACTGTTTCAATCCAGTATTGAATTAATACAGTCATCAAGCAATAATTAACTAATATATTCACAGATAACGATAGCTGAATTAATCAGAAATAGCCATGAACCTCAGGCTTTGTGCGATGATCAATGGATCAATTAATGGGCTGACGTTTCCGCCTGCAATTTCTCAATTTCTCACTTTATCAAGCGGAAGAAATAAATCGTACAATATTTCTTGTTGTACCAGTAATATTTAACACGTGGAAAAATCTGGTTTAAAACAGAAGTTGAGGAAAAGATAGGAACTTGTGGGAATCCATGACTTCTAGTGGATCATCTGTCATTTTTCAGGAGATGCTGAAAATTTATAATTACTATTGATTACTTGGTATAATTACTTCGACCACCTGTCGAAATGCTTTGATTTATCTTTCCTGTACTGCCGTGGGGATGTTCCCGTCGATTCCAGGTGGTTTGGATGACTTGGATAAGTGAAACCCCAACCACCATATTTTCATTTACCAGCATGACCTCAACACCATGCACGCCACATCCAAAGTGTTCCGTAAATTGGCTCGTAGCATGCATCCTCAAATTAATCCAATTTTCATAATCAGTGTTATTTCTTATCGGTATGAAAAACTATAACAATAATTGAATAAAATTTACATTCACCCGGTGGTACATGTAATCACTATCACAGCATTATCACGTTAATTACTTCATTTGGACTGTTATTACTCCTTATTATTCCGATGGGAATTCGAGATAAGTACGAACGACAATCCGGGCGACAGTATCTTAGTCGATATTTCCTGTAGTATTTACGGCCATTCTATTTTACATTTCGAAAATATTTCTTTGAGCGAAATTTTACGAAAATAATTGCCGGTTAATTATCATGCCTGTTTCCGCATTCACGCCTGGAAGTTTTACCTAGTGCATTAACTCCGGGAGGAATACACCATCTAGGATTTTATACACTTGCATTACGACTGATAATTATTCTTTAATGTCTAATGACGGCGTATATTGACATGAATTTAGTATTCATCAGCTTTTTGAATTAGTCTGCCCATACTTCGCCGCTAATTAGACTCAATTTTTAATGAAAAATTTGATGGAATTGAAGTTTTAGTGGCGATTAAAAAAAATCGGTGGGTACTGAGAATTTATTAATTTCACTGCAGGATTGTTTTTGGAATCGGTAAAAATGCGGCGATCCATTGAATTATTTCTACAACAAACCGCCAAGAAAATTTTTAACGAGTGCTTCATGTCGGGGAATGCATTGTCGAAGAGGAAGGCGTACCTAATGGTTCCAGTCGAGGCATCGACGCCATTTATGCTGGTATATAGCAAGCCATAGAGTTGAACTAATCGTAATTTCTGCCTCATGCTCTCCATACCGTTTGTATCATATGAGGAAGCGACTGCCCATCATAAACTCGATTCGTATCGAAATATCTCGTTTGAATACGCACGGACATTTTCCTTTCATACACTCTACAAAAGGATTGCTGATTAGTCAGGGAATTACTCTTGAAATGTATGAATGGGAAATATCATCTCGACTTCAATGCACTGTTAAAATGTTCATCAATTTTAATTGATTATTTTAGAAAATAGAATTTATTGGCCTTTCCAAATAAATTCATACAATAAAAATCAACTGTCATAAATTATTCCAGTACGGGAGAAAGCCCTCAAATTTAAAACCCACAAAAATGGAAAACCCTGAAAAACAGGATAAAATAAAACTAAAAATATTCAGCTCCAAAATGGAAAATAGAAAATTCAAAAAATTCAGAAATCAAAGGAAATCTT